GTAGTGAGGGGCCCAAAACTGAACACAGTATTCGAGGTGCGGCCTCACCAGTGCCGAGTACAGGGGCACGATCACTTCCCCACTCCTGCTGGCCACACTATTTCTGATACAGGCCAGGATGCCATTGGCCTTCTTGGCCACCTGGGCACACTGCCGGCTCATGTTCAGCTGGCAATTCAGAGGACAGAGGCTACTTAGCATGCAAATTAAAAAATATTCCATAACTATAATATGAACACATTGGCTAAAAAGATCTCACGAAAGAGAAACTACGTTTCTAGCCCCCTTGCCATTCTACAAAGCAGAACAAGTACGGTGCAAGCTATCTCCTCCTCTGCAGGAACAGTCTTCCTCAATTTTGTATTTAAAATCTTAGTCCCATGCAATACATGACAGCTCTCTCTATATAAAAGAATGTTCAGGCAGACAAAGAAAAGGACAGAAATACTTTGCTGAAAAGTTTCAATATATCTGAAAGTCTTATTTTCTTACTTTCCCAAGGAAAAATGATTCTACTTCCATTGCTAGGGTGGAAGTGGATATCCTCACTTGCTCTTTTCCTTTAAAATGGAATTGACCTCCAACCTTAATTATTGTTACATTGCCAACATGTGAAAGCCCCTTGGAGATTTTGGAAGGACCTTTCCCATACATGGCTGTTTATAACTTACCTCTTGTAGGACATGATACACCTGGGATGCAGTTTCCATAGGTTTTGTACGTTTCTAATACATTATCAGAGAAGTAAACAAATTCTGCTTAAAAAATACCACTGGGTAATAGTATTCATGTCACCATCTCTTGGATTACACCTCCTCCACTCACGGAGCCACCCTTTCCCTGTGCACACTGTGTACACCCACGCACCGGAGACAGGAAAGTGCAAACACTGACAATAATCATCACATTGTGAATGCAAACACCTGGCTCGGGAAGAATGAAATAGCACTGTCTATACGAGATTCTCAATAGTTTGCTGGGTTTAGGGCTGAAACTAATTGTTTTGGAAAGTTTTCACTACTAGGTTTTAGCTAATAAAAGTGAATATTGACACGTTGCAAAAGATAAAAGAGCATTTTAATCGAGGAATAATTCAATTTTTGGATGGGAATTTAAAAGCAGACTTTTTTTGCACAGAGTTTGCCTTTTCTATAAATAACAAATACAGAGGAAATTTCAGGATGAAATTCTACACAGCTGCACACAACTTTGCATTCATCTTTCAAAATAAATGAGAGTTCCTCAACACATTATTTTATTACTAATTCAGGTATGTTAATAGACATGTTTAAGAGACGACTACTAGAAAAATAAATGCTTTTTTTTAAGTGCTGGAAGTAGATTCTTGGTTTATAACAGTAAGCATCAGAGATGCCTTAGGGGAAAAAAAGGACAGCATAGTAAAAAACAAATGGAAAGACCCTAGTAGGAGTCAACACAGATATATTTGACTGTCCTAAATGCACACTGAAGTTTTATTAGAAGGCATAGATATGCTTGTAATAAATTACAGTAAGGAAGAATGAACTTGGGACAGAATGTAAAAGAGATTTTAAAATAATAAAATAAAACCTAAATGTTTCAGCATTAATCCTCCTACAACCCATGTCAGTTAATTGAAATGTCAATGTGATATCTGTAAAGAAACACTAATCCTTTTTGACTTGTGTTTACAAAACACAGAAAAATTCCTTAGTAGGCCTGAACAATACAACAAGCATTGACCCTAATGGTATCCCCTACTTCTGTAACCAACACAAATGTTACACTGTAATAAAACTAAAAAAATATTTGCCTTGAAAAGAGAGTAAAGCTAGCTAGCGAGTTAAGGAGTAAATTCCTTTATTTTCCCAATCACTTCAGTTGAAGTGGCTACCAAAGCACAAAAGGTGAAATGCAAAAGAAATATCATTGCTTCAGATTTTATTTTTATTCTGACAATAAATTCTAATGATATAAAAAATTTAGAGCTATTCTTTTCATTTACTTATCATCTTATGCGTAAACAAAAATAAATATATACAGAATAGGGAACATGATGTAATTTAATCTGGACTTCAGAGGTTGTTATAAACCACTTGATAAATTGAGAGCGCATAAATATGCACAATCCAATAAATCACTGAGCATGGTTATATGTATCAACAACAAGCTGGTCGGTTATCAAAACTGAAGGGTATTCAAAGGTGGTCATTTTTTCAAGGGTAACGGAAGTGTTGCAGCATTGCGTTCATTTAAATAGCCTGCTGGTGGTCAGGTATGAAACCGCCCTCAGGATACTCTATGTAAACGGCTGTAAAACACACAGTTCTCCCTTTCTCAGTGGTGGCTATCAGAAGCTGCTGCTGGCTCTGGACTGAACTTCTCTGCTGTCACCAGAAAGTGCTGTTCCCTGTCCGGCTCCCTCTGTGACTGCCAGCTCCTAACTGCAGGAGTGTGCAGGCAAAGCGGGGAAACAGCCACGGGATCAAACACGGTCAGAAGTAACAGGGTCTGTGAACCAAGCAGCTCCCAAGGGAGGAGGAAGAGCCAGGATGATCCTCAGCTGGACTGAGAAAATAACCAAGAGGTTACGATGCAGTAACTGTGCCAGTCACAGGCTCACCATCGAGGAATTTTTCCACCCCTGGTCTTACATGCAGTGTTTTCTTTAGACCTGATCCTAGGTTTTTTCACATTCATACAACAGAAGAGACAGGTATTTTTCTCGTCTTCCTTCTCAAAAAACCCTCCTTCTGTAAACTGGCAAACATTATTCATTACTGAAACTTGATTTCCTAGCACTAAAAAGTTAGCTAAAACCTGTCTTTGCTTTAAAATATCTGTTGAAGAGTAGATATGGGTTATTCTTCATTTATGGCATTTTTGTGTTGAAAATTTCATTTTTAATTTTCAGAATTTATTATTTAATCTTGTGTTGACAACTATCATTTTTATCACAAAGTATTCCATATAGTTAAAATATTTTATTTGCCAATGAATTACAGAGCACTCTGCCCATAAAAAACAATACTTGCCAGCTCCAATCAGATTTTCTTTTACCTATAAATCTCTGCTACTATGCAGACTTTGCTAATCAACACTCTCTTTCATACCTGATGTTATGCGTAACAGCCAAAAATAATATGTCAGGGTTCTTGACATCATTTCCCCTACCGAAGCACCTAGCACCTTATTCAGCAAGTTCATAAAGTGTGGTCAGCAGTAGGGCTTTTAAACCAGCAGATACAGTAATTCATCCAACCTCTAGAATAACTGCACTGATTGTCATTTGTTTCTCTGACTAGGGTTAGCCAACGGCAGACTATTTACCTTGGCTGGCTGAATAACAGGGCTTTTCAAAGCATTGATCATTCTCTGTTCAATTAGCAGACACTGCATGAGCCTCTAGATGAAGGTTTCTGTTTCCCTTTTTAAATTTGGGGCAGAAAGTCCTTCAGCGAAGGACGTACCTTTGTATCAGACTGAAAGCTACCCTCTAATTTCACTATGAGGCTCCACTATACAGCTCCCTGCTTTCTCACATGAGCGGGGATGTACCCCAGGTCATATAAAAGCACAGAGAAGGATCTGCCAGCTAACAGGTTGCTGCTGAGATACTGAATCTTAGGTGTGATTTTCACTTGGTACAGAGATTATTTTAGCAGTCAGTTTCAGAGAGCTTGGGGACTAATTCTGCTGACTTCTTTTGATAACTGTTCCTCCCAGCTGATACTCAGACAGACACTTTGAAGGCAGCATGCACCTCAGTCATGGATCCCCTGGAACACCACCACGTGTGTCAGAAGCTCTGAGGTCAAACTCATTGCACTGGCAGCTCCTGCTTAAGACATTCTTCACCCGAGTTCTATAACCCAGGCTGTACAAAAACACAGCCTCTTTTTTCACAGCTTGTACTGACCCATCCACTCAAAAAATAATCAGCCCCTAAGCCTAAAAATGTTTCTTATTACTATCGGAAATTTTAACAAGTTACAGTAAAAAAAAAAAAATGAGGAAGTAGACTAACTAGACTTTTAAAATTACTCAACAATCGGATAATACATTTAGAAGCAGCAAACAGATCAGCATTACAGCTTTAACCATAACAAAATGGTTAAACAAAACATAAACCATCATTTTAACTAACCCTTTCTGCAACTTCTTCAAAACCACTCTCCTTTGGTGCCGAAAAATAGATTCCTCTGAAACCACGTGTTCATGCTGAGGAAAGGAGTTCCCCTTGTCTACTTTGAACTACGGCATGGTGAAAAATCCCCAGCATCAACTGGTTTGAAGCAAGGAAAGTCAGGTCACCCAAAGTTCACAGAGAACCAGCACACCTATAGTCACAATCATTTAAATCTTATGATTAAGGAGCAATTTTCAATCATTACAGCTCTGATCTTTCCATAAAAAAATACTTTGTCTATTGGGTCATATAGTATTATTAATCAATTACAGAGTCTAAGATTTCATGTAAATTAATATTTAGTATAGGTATTTCAAAATATTTTTTATCATCTTTTAGAGATATCACCCACATTTCCAGAAGTTGAATTCACAGGTTTTACATGTAAGACATAAATGCAGTATGTACTTCTCTGCTTCAGTGTATGCTCGATTTTATTTATAGGAAATTCTGAAACAATGGAAGGTACATTAGCTTAATTTAAGTACGAGATTTTAGATACCTACTTGAGCAAATATATTCAGCTAATTTTTCAGCATTTCCAGACTTTTCTCCTTGTGGAGTAAGGCCAATTTCTTCCACTATAACCAAAAGTAGCAAAGAAAAACATTAAAATCAATGAGAACAATTCAGATTTACTGTCACAAAAACATGGATTGAAAAGGGAGACACAACTTGACCCACGCACACAAATACTTCCTTGAAAAGCAAAAAAACTAGAGCAATTGAAGTAGTAACATGCTATGAAAAATTCGATTTTGCCTCTAGAAAGACATACATGAAAAAAGTACAAATGAAGAATTCTGGGGATAGCTAAGCTGTTTTGGAGATTTTTTAAACTCTTGTACCTGAAGCTGTGCAACTGAAAGCACTGTCTGACTATGCTGAATGGGCTGCAGTTCCTGGCATGGTTTGGTTGCAGCTAGCTTCCCAATGAGCATATCGCTGCTCTTTCTAGTGAAGGCTGAAATCCTATCGGAAAATCTGAAAGTGTAACACTGCTCTTACTTAAGCAAGTAAGTAGGGATAAGATGAATCCCCAAGAAGTTAACTAATTTGGGACTTGATTGATTCAACATGCTTGTTAGGCATCACTGGTCAGTGATCCAGTGTTGTTACCAGCCTGCCTGAAAAAATACACTTTTTATAGAGGTAGCCAGTACTTACCCAAATTATTTTTGGACTAGAAGCAGAAAAACATCAGAACTTTTAAAATTCTCTAATGTTAGTCTTTTCATAATACTTCCTGTGTGGTTTAGCGGAAGCTAAAGCTACAATGCAATTTTACAATAAGAAAGGCTTTCATAAACTAAAACCTACATTGCATTTTTGTTATGCACATAAAATATGTATTGCATCAGATTAAAACCAGTGTCAAGACAAATAAAGCAGCTGACCCACTGAAGACAACGGGATGTATACTGCTGACTTCTGTTTGGCAAATGTCTCACAGGAACACTGAGGGAATGAAGGGCCAGTGCATCACACTTCGTACAATCACAGACAATCATGTTACCATCCCGTTCACCCAATCTAATTTCCAAAGTGAATGAAAAAAACACATGCAAATTAAGAACAAAGGGGTTTTTTTTCTTTTTTGACCAAATTTTTAAAGTAGTTACGAAAAACCAGAAGCTAGGTCCTTAGATGAAGTAAACACGTATACCATTACTTGTTTTCAGAATTATCCATTTATAAAACTTACCTGTATTTTTTTCTAAGCACCCTTGAATAGCAGCTAATACTCCACAAATTGTACTTGCAAGGCAGATTTATCTAAGTTTTCTTTTTTTAAACCCCAGCTTACCTAGAGAAGCTGTAGCTTTTCCTACCACGTAAGCTGGTTTGGTATTCCATCTTTGTTTAAGAGATTTTGACCAGGCTGAAAAACATTAAATTAAATTTAAGCACATGGCAACAAAATATGAATGCTAAATGAGTATTTGGACTTCTGTTTCATCTACAAACACAGCAAAATAATAATAACTAATACTCCACTACATATTTCAGCAAACCTGGATGTACAAAATGAATTTTTATGTATTTTTTCCATTGTGTAAATAGTAGTCTACAACATGTTTTTAAAAGCCTAATTTGAGTAAACAGTTCTTAGCTGCTTTTGTTAAGTAGCATTTTTAATGCACGTTTGCCTATGCCAGATCACATGCAACTTGCAACGTTCATTTATATTTTGGCATTAGGAATTCAAAAAAGCATCAAAACTCATAGGAAGAACCAGCACATAGTACAAAGGGAGATTTAGACATACAAACTGGTGGTTTAAAACTGAAGGCTTAGGCAAAAACCAAATATAATCTTCTATGATGACAAATAAAAGGGTAAAAATCTATATCCATGCACTACAGTACTCTATAACGCAACTCCTTCTTATACAAGAAAAGTATAGTAACTGATTGTATTTTAAACATACACCAAAAATAAGTTATCAGCTCAGAAATAAAATGTACCAGAGACCAAAATAAAATTACTATGAAATGGTTTTCCTCTTTCAGGCAGTAAGCAGGTTATAGATCACACCTCTTGGTTCCAGCTACCTGATCCCTGTGCCTGAAATCCTAATGGGTCAAAAATAGATACACTAAGTCTTTTACTATCTTGTCTTAAAACAGTACAGCATAGGACATTGACTTCCTTTCCAGTATTCTTGGGGGAAAAAAAATAGAAATAGAAACTGTAACAGTAAAAAAAAAAAAAAATTGGAGGAAACTATTCTAAAGAAGGAAAAAGATAAGGATTTATTACCTTTGAAAGGAACCCAAATAGGAATTAAAGACTCGTTTTATTGATTAAAATACGTATTACAGCAGCTCCCAAAATTCCTAATCAAGATTAGGGATGAACTCTAGATAAGAGATTACATTGACCAAAAATCCTAAAATACAGTCCTCTGCTGTTGAAAATGCTAAAATAAACTAACAGTCTCAGTGTATTTACTGCTTCCTCAAGAGTGTAACCTTACTCACTGTACATTGATTAGTATGACTACAGCCCAAGTATGGAGCAGATAAAGTAATAAAACTATTTAAGTGTACACAGAAACTCAAAGCCAGAAGTTATGACTTTGCCTAAGAATTTAGAACAGTTTACAAGGATTTGATAGATCATTGGTATGGTAATTTCTATTTAGCACTCTGCAGGATTCTTACTCGCAACAAATCTATTGGCTTTTATGTATCACCATTTCTTCATTGCTTTTTAGCTAATACTTCATTCACTTGAGAAATTTTATATTCAAGACAGAGAAATCTCTTTTTCTGTAAGACTTCATATGAATTATATAGGCACAGAAGTAGCAGTGGCCAGTTTCTAGAACATGCTCCTCTCTGTAAGGGAGGAAAGTAGTTAGTAAGCAAAACTAGGCACTGCAACAAAATATTCCCTATGCATCCACAACTGAAAAAGCTCACACTAATTAGTAATTTGCACCAAAAGCTCTTTCCTTTCATTTTTAACAACAGCGTAAGTGCGGAAAACAAGACCCTTAAAAGCTCAATTTAGCATGACACCTTTATGATACCAAAAGAACTATGAGATAAAGCTTTTTTAAAAAAGGCATACTCCAATCACCTACTGGTGGGTGAAATAAAATTACAAACTTCACAAAATACTGAAACAGAAAGACCAAGGAATATAAATATGCACTTACCGTCATTGTTACTATTCTCTTTTAAACATATCTTGATGGCTTCTAATGCTCTTGGACTGGTAAAAACTAGGCCTCCATAACATTCTGGATGAGAGAGCTACTTATAAACAGTAAATTTAAGAAATAAATTAAAAAAAATAGTAAATAAATTAAAAAATTAAGTTGATCAATTCTTTATAATCTTGTGAAGAACAGAACAGTTTCAATAAATGTCTGAAACTGAAATGGGCTAATATTTCATTACTATCAGTAGCCAGGGTATTTGTAAGAGAAATGTATAACAAATCTCAAATTCAGAACAAAACTTGCACAGACTGTTTTAATTGTGAGAAGCTGTAGGAACAGACAAGGATTCCTGTCACTGAAATGAGCTGGAAGGATGGGCGAACGACATATGAGGTACTTACTTACAAACTCACACAAGAGAACAAAGTAGTAACACAGAGGGTACTACCCAGACAGCTCCTTGCCCCCTCAAAGAGCAGTTAAGATTACTAATGGGCTGTCAAAGATCAGTACAAAAAAAGGAGCCAGGGTATTTGTAAGAGAAATGTATAACAAATCTCAAATTCAGAACAAAACTTGCACAGACTGTTTTAATTGTGAGAAGCTGTAGGAACAGACAAGGATTCCTGTCACTGAAATGAGCTGGAAGGATGGGCGAACGACATATGAGGTACTTACTTACAAACTCACACAAGAGAACAAAGTAGTAACACAGAGGGTACTACCCAGACAGCTCCTTGCCCCCTCAAAGAGCAGTTAAGATTACTAATGGGCTGTCAAAGATCAGTACAAAAAAAGGAGAAATGTTCTTGGATCACTTGTAAATGCAGATCATGATACATGCAAACACCTAACAAAGTTCAGTGCTGTTGGAGACTGTCAATAAAGGGAACCTCCCTCGGAAAACCTTTTCAACATTTTAAAATGAAATACACATGTTGAAGAAAGAGTAGAAAGAGAACACCGATTATGCAATTTTATTCCATGTACTAGGAGATGCAGTACACAATTTCAGTACAATGTAAGGGTAAACCTCAGGTAACCTTTAGTTGTCACTACAGTCTTCTAATTTTTTGTTGTGACAAAATCCTCCGATACCTGTGACTATCGATGGTCCATCAACCTAAATATGAATTCTATCTGACCAACTTAATTCTTTAACAAGCATGGGCAACATACTTGATGTTGTATACAATACGGTATTGGATACAACTGTGTTTGTGGAAACACAAAAAGAGGTACCACAAAGGGCGTTATTAAATCAAGATAAGACACGGCATCTTGGCAACCATGGCCTAAATTCTGGTGAAAATAAGACAACTGAAATAATTTAAAACTTACCTTTTCAAATAACCTTTCAAGAGATATGAATTCAAATGACAAAACTGGAATCAAAGTTGCTTCAAATCCATATAATCCCAACTCCTATCAAAAAAAGGTTTACAGCTCTTGAAATAGATTTCAAACAGTAGTTTTTTCTTTTTCAAAGAATTGACTAAGTCAGCACAAATACTGCTTTTTACTGAAGTAAAATACAAAGGCATTGTATTTGCTTTTACTAGTGAATCTAGTTTGGTTTTGTTAGTTATATAGTATTACCACATAATACTAAACAAACAGCCTGGAACGGAGGCCTCCTACATAGCTACTGAATAGTTACAGCATAAACCAGCACACAGCTCTGAAGTCCCTAAGTGACAAACGATCACCTAGTCCTGCAAATATTTTTGTACATCTCTGTAATTCTTTAAAGTCAATAGAACTGCTCTTATGAGTAAGACCTACTCACATGACTGAAGGTAATAGCAGAAAGGACCACAGCAACAGGTAACCTCTTTTTCAAATTACATTCCCATTTAAGACTACTAACATTTTTTGTAATCTTAATTCTATCCATATGAACATAATCAATATTAATTAAAATGAAATTGTTTTAATATCAGTACTTTGCTGAGAACTTTAACAGTGAATTCAGTACGAATGACCCCTAACTAAAATAATTTTTTCAGTAACAGCAAATTTTTAAGCATACTTTTTTCCTTAGCCTAATTTCAGACATGCACTCCTAATTTTGATTAAGCACGTTTTTCACTTGAAACAGTTAAATTCATCTATCTTGCTGAACACGATACTATTATTTAATAGTGAAGTGACACAATTTTTTACTTTTTTTAAAGTTTACTTACTTTAATATATGGATCTGGTCCTGAATCTTTGTCTTTGGGATCCTTCAGCAAGAGAACCTTCATTGTTTACCAAATAACTGCAAAAGAACTCTGAAATACAATAATGGAATTTATCTAAATTAGATCTAGAGGACTTTCTACTGAACAGTGACTTTAATAGCTCAGCTTCAAAGAAACTGGGTTGCTAACAGTTGCACTGCTCTCTATACAATGAGTAAGCAGTTAACGTACATTCTCTGGGCATGAATATCCACCCTGATAAGGCCAACAAATAACATGCTGTCTTTAGATAATACCGCTTAAGGGAGAAACTATAATGAAAGTCATCAAGGAGAATACATTTTAAAGGAGAATATTTTGCAGAAGTAACAACCCCTAGAATGCAGTCACGTAATAAGCTCCTATCTATAAAAACTTACCCTATTCTGTTCATTTCCATGCCAGTTTCCACCCTATGCTCATCATAACGAGTATGCAAGGACTTATGTATCTAGTGATTTAATTTGATGCATTTGGGGTCTAACCCTTTTCATGGGGGAAAACATGTGCAGGGCAGTGTTTCAAATTTTTTTAAAAAAATACAAACTTGCGTATATAAACACACATTTATACATCTGAATATAATATACATAATATTCATATGCCTTCTTTAATACATCTATAGTAAACAAGACAAGACTGAAAAAGTATATTCTGCCATTAAAATGGAAGATGATAGTTCTCAGTTCCTTAAAAGTTGACTTTGGTGCTGAATTCAAAGCCTGTTAGAACACATAAGCAAATACACCAAGCATCAAAGTAAACAAATGCAATAATACAAACAAACAGAAATCCATTCTCTGCACATTTACCTTAATTATCTATGTGTTACTTTCCTGATAGATTACATACTAGCGAATTCTCTTTAAAACGAATAATTATGAATATTCAAATGTACAGAACATCTTAAATTTTATTCATTTGCATGACATGCATTGAAATCCTCAAAACTTCATCAAAGGCAAAAAAACCTGCTCAGACAAAAATGAAAAGAGAAAAGAGACAAGGCAGCTTTAGACAACAGTGGACAAAACAGGATCTGGTACAAGTAACCAGAGCTCAGTGTCACACATTCATCTATAGACAGAAGCACTGCAAAATGCAGGTGGTGAAAAGGGGCACCTGAAGCACCACCCCCAGGAACTCAATATCCGACTGTGATATTACGTTAATTTTGTGCATTTTAAACTTCATTTTTTTAATCTAGGTTTTAAAATGTGGTGTGATAATTTAGGTGTTTGATTCTGAACATCTTACCATTAGACATGGAAGCGCTCATTTCCACAAGACTTCCAGTACTCAAAATTGACACAATGGGAACTGGTAGGGCTTTGCAGTTCTGAAATATCAAGGCCAGTGAAGTCAAAGGGAATGACTAAAAGCATGCATAGAAGAAGAAACAAGGACTTTGTCGAGGGCCGTATTCTCCAAAATTGTAATTCTTGCTGATTTCAAACTAGAGCAAATGCCAAAGTAGATCCCATCCATAGCTTTCAAGAGTTTGACTCCCAAATACTTTTGAGTATCCAGTTGCTAGTAGCTTTAAGGAGGTAGGGCTAAGTGACTTTTCTCAGTCACTTTAACATTGTTGTTTTTTTAAAGTGAAGGCTGTTACATTCTTGTAAAAATCTAGTTTGCACACAGTTCTTTGTAGTAAAGATTGTTAGTAACTTCAGTATCAGAACAACAATCTCTACAAAAACTAACTTACTATATATAAGTTAGTGCTTACGCTCTAAGTATGATACACTTCCATTTCTACCACCAAGAATAATGATGGTAACTCTAACCTACCACACCTTCCTATTTCCAAAATATATAATGTTTAATGACATTATGAAGTCATCAAAATATAAATGTAAGGAAAAAAATAATAATCCTTCCAAACTGTATAATACAAGATAATAATACTTTTTGGAAAGAGCAATTTCCAAAAGTATTGTAATAAAACCCCCAGATGACATGCGAGAGTTAATTCAGGTACACCTGGGGAAAGCAGATTTCTAATTAATTACTTTAGGTAGGTAGAAACAAATTAACTTCCCATCCTATGCCTTATTACTGTGTCAAGTAATGAATAATAATAAGAAACGGGTAAATATCTATGTTTAACAAGGTGACTTACGATAATCAAATTAATTATTTTGTTTAGATCCTGCATACAAAATATATACTGAAACCAAAGAATAATTATAGAGTCATAAAATATCATGAACTACTGCAAGATGCAATTACCTAGCTGTCTCCTCTACAAAGAAATCTTACAAGCTGTATTTTGGGCTCAGCCATCTGGCTCACTTGTAAAAAGAGCAAGACTGCACAGCCCTGGCGCTCCTAGAAGCCACTGGCTTATTTTCAATTCTGCCAGAAGACAACTCGTTTATCAACTCCAAAAAGGGGCTGCAAGTGTCCAACAGAAGACAAATTTGACCTAGGGAACCTGTAAGTTTGTGTATTTATGAACAACATGTATTTTGATCTCAACTACCCTCTGAGTGCTTTTGGTTTTACTGCTGAAAAAATTAGTCTCCTTTTCTGGAGCCATAAACCTCTCAGACCATTCTGTTCTTTCTGCCTATGTAGTTCAGACAGGTTCACACAGATTTGGTGACAGCTGTGACCAAATGAAAACTGGTGGAATATACCCATTTCCAAATGCCAGGTCATCACACCCAACACTTTCTTAGCAAGTGTGCCCCACCACCACTGACACATCACTGTGCATCGAGGCAAAATGCTGCCTTAACGGACAGGCAGAAGAGAAAGCAGACAAGATCCCAAAGAGGGACAAGCACATGTGAGCACATTTTCAAACCAAAAATATGCCAATATACATCCAAAGGGTGAAGAAGTTAAAAATCAATTATGCATTCTTTTTTTGGGGAAAAACATACAGACAAGTTTTCATGACTTGCTGCAAGGATGCGGGGGTCCCACTGCACTGGGAATGGTAAGAGAAATACAGTATTTTTACTGGTTTACTTGTGTCCTTGAGAGGTTACTAAGGATTGCCCTACCAATGACTGAAATACAATTTTCCAAACAGCTAGCTTTCTGCTAAATTCACTTAAGAGTCAAGAACCCTGACAAACATTCCTATGGAATCAGAGAGCGTTACGAGAAAGCACATAAATAAGACATGCAGCATCTTCGGTAATTTTTGATGTATTCTGAGGTAAGAACTTACAATACAAAGATATATTTTAGATAGCTTATATATTTTATCTATAAATTGTATCTTATATATTAAATATTTAATCAAGTGAGGTATGCACAAACTTCTAAACAACCAGGAAAAGTTTCTATTCAGAACAATGAATGGACTTAGCAGAGTCCAGCAGTGCTCAATCTATATCTGGAAAAGAGAATGTGTATGAATAATGTTAGTAAGTTTTCCACTGCCAAGTCTTTGTTTATAGGATGATGCTGGCCACCCACTTTTGGCTCACTAAACAAGCTTTGTTTGTCTGAGCACCAGTAACAACCCTGCAAAGACTGCTCTTCAAATGTTAAAAAAATACCATTTAAAACGCATTAGGCTTGCAAACGGCTAATAAGAGGACAACAGATTTTCTGTCTTGAGCACACAGACACAAAGATGAAGAAAAACTTGTATTAGTCAGTGTGAGGTTTGGGAACCATCCAGTTAGCTCTGATAACAAACTACAAGAGCGACTGGAGTGTCTGCGGCATTACCTCACGACTGAAGGCTAAATCCAGCTTGGCGCTTTCTCCGAGTCCACATTACTTAAAATTAAGTCCACTTTACTTAATTTAGAAGAAAGGTAATTTTAGGTCACGTTGCACATTCAGAATATTATGCTTACAGACAGAATTGAAATGCTTCCCAGTCACAGCATCACACAGTAAAATTCAGCAACCCTGTGCCTTCAATTAAAATATAAAGCTGATTAGGATGTGTATCCCTGATATTAGTACAGTAAAAATGAGCAATACTCTCTCATATTAAAAAAACCTTTGCAGATTTTTTATATAAAACATTGTACAGAAAGAACATCCCTGTTGGTCACTCAACTTTCATTTCAAAAGCTGTCCCCAAACTAATTGTGAACTATCTTTAATACAGAGGACAGCTTGTAAAAAGAAATAAATGGGTCCTTTTGTTTCTTGCTGCTAAGTGACACCGAGAGCTGCAAAATATATTAAACTTTTCTAATACTATTCTGATTATAAGCAACTGTATGGGTCACACAATAAGGTTTGATTGCCAAGTGTAAAGGGAATTGTCTGTTCCATCATAAACAAAAAAGGAGACGAATTATAAGACACTATTGTGTATGATTTTTAAAAAACCTCTGAAAATCCCTCGGCTAGGATTTCTGATGCTATGCATTTCTTACCAATATCTTTTTACTATGATTAGATGGATTTAATAACCAGAGAGGGAAAAAAGCCTACCTGTAAGGCTGCCATGAAGTATGGTTCAGAAATCTACCAAATTCAGAGATAATGTAATACGTGTATCATCAAGTAACAACAACAACAAAAGATGTGAGAATAATTCCTACTGTTTGGGTGTCTATGTCACAAAACTCAACAAAACTAGTTCCTTGACATGGCAATCCAGAGGAGCAGCAAAGGACTCAGACCTTTCTACTACATCATGGCTTTTTACCAAAAGCAACGTTAGTAATTAGTGTCATTCTTGACTGATACAGTTTCAAAAATAAAATGGAAAACTGTATATAGATGCAGATTGCATCCCCACAGAGGCAGTTTTACTGCAGCAGTAAAGGGCTTTGCCAATACTTTCTCCACACTGTATTCTTTTCCTGTGTATCAGTATTCGTATTTTGGCAATGCCCTAAGTGCTCCCAGAGCAGACACAGCTCTCAAAACATAATAAAAAAAATAAACACAGACATGTTTGATACTTTAAAGAGACATGAAAAATCTAACCTATTTGGATTGTATTTATAAAGCCAAAATTACATCCCAGGCCCTGTGCCTTGCATTTCTTCTGGCTGGCAATAGTGAACGCCCAATCCTCTTCTTCAAATGACCTCATTAACCACCTACCTTTCTTCATTAGCTAGACATGAAGACTCAAATAGAGCATGGTCCGCGTGAATGAGCTCAAACATTAATGGCCACTTCTGTACCTTTAGTGCTTAGGATTTTTCAACACATTTTCCTGATTGATATTTTTATAAAAAACACATTTACATTGTGTTTACTGCATTCTACCTCACTGCCTTTTGTTTGTTTGTCTGGAATGATTTATAACAAGTCTGGGAATTAATTTTTTAAGTACGCAGTAAGCATTTGATTCCTTTTTTAATTTGGCTTTCAGTAATTTGACCAATATCACAGATGCTCAGCACAGACTTCTAGGCCCCAGTACTGTATTTTAGCCTGTTTGGCTTTCTTTTCTTTACAAGAGTGTAACTCACAGGTTCAACAGACACAGGCCAAGAACAGAGGTGGTGAGGGCAGAAGAAACATGAGGACATTTGTTGCACGGGACAATCATTTTGCTTGCCTTTAAACAGACGATGCTTCAGCAGGGCAGGGAGCTGCAACAGTTAACACGCACCTACGCTTCCACGTATCGTTTTCAAGGGTATTTTGAGCCCCGGCGGAGCCCGGATGACTTTCCCAGAATACTCTTCTTTTAAAGCAGGTGACATCAGCAGCCTCCGGATGACTTTCCCAGAATACTCTACTTCTTTTAAAGCAGGTGACATCAGCAGCCCAAAGAGGGAATCCCGGGTGTTTTAGGAGCGAGGAGAGGGGCGGCCTGGGGCGTGTCGCGTGTGTCCCGTCCCCGCCCTCCACACGTGCCGGCGGGCCCGAGTGCCCGCCCTGGGCCCTCGCCCTCGCCCCTTCGCAGTTTAACACAGCCTTTCCCTGTGATTCACTGCCGACAGGCACGACATACCCCAACTCCCGTCTGGAGAGCTTTGTCGCGCTACGGTCACCACACACGCGGAGGCGATGCTGCCCCACTGCAAGCCCGAAAAAATCGCCCCTTCGAAGTTAAACCCAGCCTTTCCCTGTGATTCACTGCCGACAGGCACGACGTACCCCAACTCCCGTCTGGAGAGCTTTGTCGCGCTACGGTCACCACACACGCGGAGGCGATGCTGCCCCACTGCAAGCCAGCACCCCGCGCTGCC